AGTAAATAGATTTAAGTTTTTTTTGTTCGAAAGAGCGCGTCGAGATGCAGGTCACCACAGAGTCCTTTTTTTTAAATTCTTACTTTTTTTGCGGAAAAAGGGGATCACAAGTTCAATGACTCAAAAAACGCGCCAAAAATGAGTGTCTATGTGCGTACACCAAATAAAAAACAAAAGCTTAATTAAAAAAAGGAGTCCGTGGTGACCTGCATCTCGACACGCTCTCTGAAACAAAAAAAAATTTAAATATATTTACTGAGCCTGGACTGAGAAATCCTTGAACTAAGATCAAAAAATCATAAACCGTGAAAAAACGAAAAATATTTTCGGTTTTTTCCAAAAATGGCTTATTTTTCGAATAGCGGATGACGGAAATCTTCAAAAAATTTTGGAAAAAACGAGGTGCCGATAAAAAATTTTCGTCATTTATGAAAGATCAGATCACGGGCTATCTTCCTATGCATTTATCTCAATATTGATGATTCTGACGAAAAGTGACTTTTTTTTAGTGGGGTTGTGGGTGTGGGTATATCAAGAATCACACCCACACCCACACCCACACCCATACCCATACCCATACCCATACCCACACCCACCCCACACCCACACCCACACCACCCACACCCACACCCACACCCACACCCACACCCACACCCACACCCTCACACACACACCCACACACACATCCACACACCCACACCCACCCACACTCACACCCACACACACTCACACACACACCCACACACCCACACCCACCCACACTCACACACACACCCACACACCCACACCCACCCACACTCACACACACACCCACAGCCGCAATGTTTGTATTTTGCCAAAAATAAAGTCGTGTTACTAGGCTTTTTAGATATTTTTCTACCTGAATATCTTTCATTTGGGCATTGTAGTTTCAGTAATTGTAACTTTGACACTGTTCTTCTGACTCCTGTACGGTCAATCAGGAAAAAGGGTATTACAAAGTGTACTTCGGCAGGTGGGTTTTTTTGCTAGAGTAGATGAGGGTAAAACATCCTTTTACTCGTATCAACACTACTTTTTGCGTTCTCCAACCAGCATCCTTTCCAATATCATCATGTCAACCATGTAGATCCAGTGGCTAAGATGAATCTGCCGACTATAATCGGTTCGGATCGCTCGTAGCTCAATCCATCGAAACGCATTGATAGGATGAAATAATGTTTCGACAAAATAGACAACTCAATCCAAGTTTTTTTCAATGCCACAAGAAAATTCGCGTGTTAATTGGATAGAAACTCCATCTGTTTAATTATTTTTTCCAATCATAACTGCTATAATCGAATTATTTTTCTAACAACGTATTGAAATCTGTTTACAATAGTTATTTTCACTGACCTAGCCCCACCTGTGTAAATGGTTGATTAGCCTAAGAGATATAATAGCCGTTTTGCATGCAGCTGTCGCATATTGATAATCATTCAATGTCCTATTCACACAAGCTATCTGATGTATTGCTTTTATTTAATATCAGCGTTCTACCTTTTTTTGAGAAACACAATCTGGACAATATCTGAGTTTCGGAGATCACCTTGCCTGATAAATCGAAGATTATTGGTTAACACTTGGATGCAGGCTTCGGAAAAGAAGCATTCCTTGCATTCACGTCGGATCTTGGAGAGCTCAGACGGATTAGCAGTCTATATTTAAAGTATCTGAATAATTATCAAAATAGCACACAAGCTGAACTCCCATCATCTTTCTCCTATATATTCGGTCGCCCGCAGCGTATCATTGTAGATTGGCTCGTGGTGGCAGAATTCATATTAAGGCATAGAGTTTTTCTCGAAATCGACTTTTCACCTGTCACTAAACTGACGCTTTTCTCTAAGAAAGACATGTTTGCTCTCCTTAGTGAAGATTGGAGCAAAACCAATTCCAACGATACATTGCATGGCAATCTCCAAATCAATTATCATCTTCATATAGATCATTAGTTGCGTTTCCATCAACATTTTATCGAAGTTGTTCTCAACTGATCTATTTTGTCGTCACTTTTTTGTCGTTAACAACATTGTCGAGTAAACTTCATAAGTAATCAATTAGTAGCAAAAACCACTTTTTTTGATTGATCTGTCTCCAAGACAAAATGTCTTTCTTATAAGAATGTAGATCAAGTCGCCTCTCTTCAATGGCATGGCGATGTGAGTATAAGGGTATATATGTGCTTGTGGGTGTGGATATGTTTGTAGTTTTCAGATTGTTTTACTAACACTGTTGCGCTCCCAACTACTGGTTTTATGCTCGTACAAGCATTGATTCATATTTTATAATATTTTCCTTCTAAAATGAACTTGCCCAAGTTATTGAAATGAATACTGAGACTATAAAGATGCACGGATAGGTACAGTCACAGACAGAGATGAGACAAGACTTACACCTACCACATCCGCAGTCATTTTCGACAGTTTTTAGGGGTGTACATTTCTTTTCCATTTTTACATAAGATCGGCATTTTCTTTTCAATATTTTTTTTCTTTAACATTTTTTTCTTTCGCTTACGTTGATATACGCCAACTAGATTCTAACTTTGATTTATTTTGATTATTTTCTGAGATTTGGATAAATCTTAGTTGACTCGGATGGGTCTAATGACATTTGTTATCCAATAAAATCTATGTTTCCGTGATTAAGGTAATTATAAACTGCATTAGATTTTGATAGATTCATCAGAATCCAGTTTTTATTTCTTTAAAAACAATGTCATATTTTTCCGAATGTTAAGAATTTTCAAAGTAGAAGAACGATATCCATAAAAAACAACAAACATATTTTGATCATATACGTTATTAATTTTCTGTTTAGTATTCTTTAAAATTAAGAAATTAAGATCTAGCGAAAATATTTCATTTGAATCACTTAGGAAAACAATTGTTTCAACATTGATCTTCTCTATGGTATAAGTTGATAACAATCGGAATACGAAATATTGAAGCATGTTTATACAAAGATTTCTCGTTAAAAAACGAGTTTCAATCTACTTTTAATTTACTAGACTAAAACATTGGTATTCTCACATTTTAGGATATAAAAACAGATTAAGGAAATGGATTTTGTGTAAATGATCTGTCTCTAGATGAATTTCTTGTTGACGTTAGACAAGTATTGTCGTCTACTGAATCGTTATCTAATGAGGGATTTGATAATGATATTATTGGAGGTGAAATATTAAATGTGGTTGATAATGGAGAAAATAATGATGATAATGGATCAATTACTGCATCATCTTTAGTATTTGTTGGGAAAGCAAAATCTTCAATAGCACCAGATATAGAATTATTAAATAATGTTGAATCATTATTAGTATGAAATACGTTTACAGGAAATTCTAAACAAAACAAAAAAAAAAGAATTTTCTTTTAAATAAAAAATAAATCGTTATAACCTTCTCTGGGCAGATTTTTAGTTTGTTGATATGGGACTTGACTAGTTGGAACAATTGATGAATGCTTGATTTGATATTGATTAATAAATTGAATCATATCTTCGATAACTTGAATTTCCTCTTGACGAATGCGTATTTCAGCTTCTGTCCTTTTTCGACGTTCGATTAATTTTTCACGAATATTTTTTCGATAGATTTCACTTCCAAGATGAGATAAAAATGACTAAGAAAAAACACTGTATCCCTTTTATTAACAACTTTTATTTGAAATACATACAGTTATTTCACTTTCTGATGAAGAATTTTTTTCTTGTGGATTTTCTGTTTGTGACATAGTTGCCGTTATTGTACGAAGAAAAGATAAAGATTCAACTAAAGTTTAATATTAATTTATTCAATGAAAAATCTTTTCAATATCTTCTATTAAACACGAAAAAAAATAATAATAGCTGAAAATATCGATTTAAACATTTGTGTCAGACAGATAATTATTTGCATTTCATCGAATTGTGTTCAAAAATCGCAATGCTCAATAAAATGTCTTTCTAGTTTCGTAATGGTCAAATATAACATTTCGTGAATACCGTCAGTCAAAAGAGGTTCAAATTCTGCATTTATAAAAATGTTACACTGGACCATTTCATCAAACTAATAATCATTAAAAACTCTAATCAGATCATAACTTTCAAGTCCTAGAACAGATATCATCTAGAGCGAATTTCAATTGATATACATTTCGGTTCGATTCGCTTTATAATTTCGATAATGTTGATCAATCATGCATTTTGTTCTAGCTTTTGAATGACATTTATATTTTACCTATGCTTTCCTCGAGAAGCAGAACAGCCATTTTTCAACTCCAGAACGAAAATACAGGTAAAATAGGACAATCTTTCAAACATAGAATAAAACACATCATTGACCTATGTCATAAAATCTATCAAAATTCTTCTAAGAAATTACGGCTTAGAAGACATTTTATTAGTACTTTGTAAAACTTAAGTCGAATTAGATTGGGTCAAGACAATGTAACTTATTACGATAATTGATTCGCAATAGAAATAAATTTCGTAACTATATACATTAAATATAAAACGACAAATATCATCGATAGAGTTTTTGACAATCACCGAAAATAAAATTTTCCTCGACTTTGTCAATTATTTGGGATTATTTCCCACAAAAATCACCAACCATTCACACCAACCACTCCGGAACGCTCCTGTCAAAAGTAACGGAATATCTTATTGTATAAACTAAACAATTTTCGTGGTATTCAATTGACATTTACTTAAGCCAAAATCTAAAAGAAAAATCTGGAGCCAAGATTGCCTTCGATCTTTATAAACAACGATCTTACAATTGAAAAATCTTTCATGCCCAACTAAATTTGTTAACAAAAAGGTCCTCCCGAAAGGATTAGCATTAATGTAAAGTAATAAAAATAGAATGAACACAATTCATGAAAGTATAATTTATCATGTTCAAATAATTAACGGTAGCTATAATCGGTATCAAGTCATAATTATTAAAGTCGATAACATATTATTTTCCAAACAAACTTTTTCATTATCCTAATATCTACAGATAAAAATAATATATTTACCATTCGAGTTGTTTGATTGAACACTCATTGATGTAAATAGTAATGGTTTCTGCAAAGAATCGCTTGAGCTAATTCTTAGAAAAAATAAAAGTTTTTGTTCCTTTTTTTTTGTTTCAATAAAATTTACGATTGAATAATATTTGTTGTACAAATATAGCTTTCGGGTTTTCCATTCCAAGAATTAATTTTCACTTGAGAATACGTTTGAAGAAAAATCCATTGCTGACCTTTGGTTAAAAATCTATACGGATCGCTTTTTCCATTTCCATTTTGTTTCCCTAATACAAAAAAAAATTGTGTTTATTAGTTGGTAAAAGAAAAAGACAAAATTAAATCTTACATAATTGATGTGCTCGAACCATAATCGATAAATCATCTGGATGAACAAAGTCAAAATATGTTCGACCAACTAACTCGAATGAGCTATAACCAAGATATTGTCGAGCTCTTAAAAATAGAAAATAAACGACAATTTTTTTTTCAATTTTGTCAAACTTTGCATCAATAAAAATGAATTTTCCATAAATATTTAAATGCGTTATAAATTCTTCAGATGAACTTTCATTATTGATAATTAATGTTCGATCTAATGTATTTAATTTAACAATTGACATCAAATACTTTTCATTTTCATTAACTAAAAATATGAAAGAAAAACCAAAACAGAAATTTCATTAAATTTTCGTTTCTTGTTTACTGTTTCGAAATGCACCGATGAGGGTGCATTGTTCATAATCATCATTAATAGCTCGTTTCCAGGATACATCACAACTTTCTAATACTGTAAAATAAAATATAGAAATCAAAAATAAAAATTTTATTTTCAATAGAATTTTACCTTTATGATCATTTAATAGATAATCACGTAATCGGTCATGATAAGATGGGAAAATGAATTCATATAATGAATGATTTAAAATTTCATGTTGAGTATAACCCAGATATGAACTTATATTTTTTGACACATAAATAATTTCAGTGTTANTGGTTAAAAATCTATACGGATCGCTTTTCCCATTTCCATTTTGTTTCCCTAATACAAAAAATAATGTGTTTATTGGTTTGTAAAAGAACAAGACAAAATGAAATCATACATAATTGATGTGCTCGAACCATAATCGATAAATCATCTGGATGAACAAAGTCAAAATATGTTCGACCAACTAACTCGAATGAGCTATAACCAAGATATTGTCGAGCTCTTAAAAATACAAAATAAATAAATTTCCTTTTTTTAAACTTTGTCAAACTTTGCATCAATAAAAATGAATCTTCCATAAATATTTAAATGCGTTATAAATTCTTCACATGAACTTTCATTATTTATAATTAATGTTCGATCTAATGTATTTAATTTAACAATTGACATCAAATACTTTTCATTTTCATTAACTAAAAGTATGAAAGAAAAACCAAAACAGAAATTCCATTAAATTTTTGTTTCTAGTTTACTATTTCGAAATGCACCGATGATAGTGCATTGTTCATAATCATCATTAATAGCTCGTTTCCAGGACACATCACAACTTTCTAATACTGTAAAATAAAATATAAAACAAAAATAAAAATTATTTTCAAAAGAATTTTACCTTTGTGATCATTTAATAGATAATCACGTAATCGGTCATGATAAGATGGGAAAATGAATTCAAATAATGAATGATTTAAAATTTCATGTTGAGTATAACCCAGATATGAACTTATATTTTTTGACACATAAATAATTTCAGTGTTATATGGATTCGATTTTATAACGAGAAAAAAACAATTCATTGACTAAAAAATAGAAAAAAGAAAAATCTAAATTTGATTTGTTTTAATATAGAATTAAATTACTTCAATAGATATTTGTAACCATTCTTCAATATTAATTATATCAGATGATGGTTTCCATGAAAAATCTAAAAAATTATTTCTTTTTGATGATGTTGATCTTTTATTTGATAATTCAACTTTTTCATCATTGGTTAAATCTAATCAATTTATATGAAATAATTTTCTATAAATCATTCAATATAATTTTTTCTTACAGTGATGATGTTTTTGTAAATATTGAGCAGTTTGACGTAAAATTGAAGCTTTATCAAACTTATTAGTTTGATCGTTTGATGAACAAGTTTTTTTAATAGAAAGTAAATCTTCTAAATTTGCTATTAATTTACTAAAGAGATCACGACGACGTTTTTCATTTTCATTACGAAATTGTCTAAAACTCATAACAATTAATTCGATCTTAAGCTAGAAAACATTTTTTTACCTTTTTGATGGTGATTGTTTTGCATCATTTCTAACGAAAAAAAAACAAAGCAAAATTATTTTCTTTT